TGCCACCCAAACCTGACTTTATTTATTTTTGTTTGTATTTCCTGTGAACTTTTGGTGTGGAGGGATGGAGGTAATGTATGAGAGATTTTTCAGTATGGCCTCTCCGTTGAGATAGATCACTTTTCAGTTTGTAGGACGAAGTCCTCTCTCCTGCTCCGTTCTCACTGTCACAAAGCTCTAGAGACTTGTGTCTGGGACAGAGTGTCTTCCCAGCTGGGGGGACACCACGTTGGCTTCTCAGACCTGGCAGAACTTAACCCTGTTATGGTGGCTTCTCAAAACCAGACATCATGCTGTTGGGGCCTCCCCTTGTGTGGAAATCTGTGAACAGCTACAGGCAGTTCACATCCAAGACAGCAGCTGTACTGTGCTAGAGCCTCTGCAGGCAGGGCCCTGCTGCCCGCCGGAGGCTCACGGCCTCAGCTCTGCTTCTCCAGCGAGCAAACTCCTTCTCCCTTCAACCCCTCTCAAGACGGAGCTCTCGACAGATGTCCTCACTGGCACCCTGATGGACCCCTCCTCTCCTCTTAGGAGGAGGCCCTGATCTCACAGTCCCAATGGACTGGACACCTGATGGTTTGCACAGTGAGAATCTGTGCAAACTTGCTTCCCATAACATTCCTTTCCTGGGAATCTGGAATGAGGAGCAAATCATTCTATTTCACTGATTTCTCTGTAAAATAGAATGCTTTTCTGGAATTTCAGAGACAGTGGGGATCAACACGGTAGAGCAGATGAAGTTGCTTTGCTTGGGGAGACATGGACATAGACTCACAGGACATGTTAGTCAGCTTTCCAATACTGTCACACCTGAGATAATCAACTTACAAAGAGAAACGTTTATTTGGACTTACATTTTAGAGTCCATGAGCAATTGGCCCTGTGGCTTTGGGTCAGAGGTGGCACCTTGTGGCAGCATATTATGGAGGGAACAGGTTGCACTCAAAGCTTCTCCTCACCTTGTGACCAGAAAGTGAGGAAGAAGAAGAGGAAGGGGGTGGGGCCCCACCACCCCTTTAAGGGCACCCCCATGACCTGAAGACTTTCTGCTAGGCCCCACCTATAAGGCTCTATCACCTGCCAACAGGACCTGGGGACGAAGCCTTGATACATGGGCTTTGGGGGACATTCCAGGTCCAAACTACAGCCCAGGTTCAGTCGCGCCTGAGGGTTGGGGAAGAGTGCTCCATGGGTTCCAGGCTGCCTTTGGGGTCCAGGGCCCGGTGCCTTCTCACACCGGACAGATTTCTTGCTCAGAAGTCCCCAGGCCACCCCTGTACCTTGCCATGCATTGTTTTTTATTTTTTTTCCCTTTGCTTGATTGGTCTAAACCAAGCGTGATTACTGTTATGTGGAACTGAATAGTCTGAGTGACATGGTGGCTTTAACAATGCAATGACAATAATCACCACCCTCATAGAACTCTCCCCACCCGACCTGCTGCCACAGCGCCCTGCAGGCCAGCGTGCCTGGATATACACCTCTACACCGCCCATCTGTTCTCTTATTAAAGTAGCAAGGACATCAAGGCAGGAAAAAAAATAGAAGAAGAAGAAAAGAAAAACATAAAAAAGCTATAGTTTGAGAAAAAGTAGCAGGCATTTCCTAGAAATAGCTCTGACCCAAACCCAGCCAGAGCAGATTCAAACCGGAGGGATATAAACAGCAATCACACCCTGGCTGCTATAATTAAACCAAACTAGATTCGAGAGGAACGTCTTCTTTTGAGAAGCAGAGTCTCTGGGGTGGTTCACTCTTCCTGAACACTTAGGAAAACAATTATCAAATTTGTGGTTTGCAGGCTCAAATCTTCCTCAAAACAACCTGATCGATGTAAAACTAAAAGTTAAGAAATCCTTTTCTCCATAGCTGAAATCCCACTGAGGCAGACCTTCCCAGGGTTCAGGAGTATTAAATGTTTCCTGTAGAGTGGAGTCTCCGCCCAACATGTCTTAAATGATCCTGGAATTCAGTAGGCCTTTGTCATTATGCTTTTGTTTTAATACCCTTGTATGTTAATAGTCCCCTTATCCATATTTTATCTTCTACTTTATGTCTGATTGTACTATTTATGTCAAGGAATGTGAGTCCCTGATAACTTTAAGAGGATTAATATAAAGGAAATGGGCTTTATTAGTTTGGATTTGTTTTATTAGCATTCTACAGTTTGATTAGAATGAGAAAGTCGAGAGAGTCTTGTTTGCCAAGCAGGAGTAAAAACAACATAAAATGAAATAAACCGAGCCTCAATGTATTATTGATAGAACACAAAGACATTTTGCACAGCATTATTGTAAGTACAAAGGTCCTTGCAGGAGACAATAGAGGACAGCAAAGACTTTTAATTTATTTTTCCAGACTGCTTTTAGTTTCTTTGCAGATATCTTTAGTTAAGTGAAGGGCACACTCTTTCTTTAAAGGGAATTTAGAGAGGGAGATACCAAAATATACCAGACAACTATATTGAAATATTTACCATTTGTTGATTTGGGACATAGAGTGAATGACAGATTTCAGCATAATATTTGCAGAGGGAAAAAGAGAATTTTCCATGAGCATCTAGAATGTTGTTTTGCTTGGGTTTATGCAAAAAATACATCTGAGAAAAATGAAAATTAATCTTGGAGTAGGGGAGAATTCCTCTGAGAATACAACCGTATACTGTCAACAGAACTTTTCAAGTGATCAGCAGTAAAAGAAATATGATTGTTAATGGATTTATTATTTTTTTCCAGTGTGACTTTTGCAAAATGATTGGAGCTCTTTTGCAGAGTGGCTGTGTGAGGAAATGGGCGTGGCCGTGGGTCCATCCTTAGTATGTTAATAGTCCCCTTTTCTGTGAGCCATTGGCAAGTGTCTCCCTGCTGCCCTGTCCTTCCCCATCCTCAGGTTCGAGAGCGTCACTGACTGGTTATAGATTTGGAGCTGTTCCCTGTAAAGTCATTTTGAGAGAAGGCATATAATTAGCTAAAATTGGCTCGTCAAAAACAATAATGGGATAGAAACCAATTGGAAGTTTTCACTCTTTCTCCGTTCTTTTCTTTCAACTTAGAGTTTGGGAGTTTTAACAAAGGAAATTAGGAATTTATTCATTATTAAGAGAAGAGGGTAATCGCAGGTGGCCAACGTAAGCACGCCCGATTCTGCTTGCTTCCTAAGAGAAGCTGTCCCTCACAAGGGAGCTGTTTGAAGGATGGAGGAGGGAAATAACGTCCCGAGGGTCCTGAAGGTACTTTTCGTTGATGGAAAGGGTGCAGATAATGTGAGGCGCAGAAATGGAGGTGGAGTGAGGGGGTCTGGCCAACTCTCCAGGCTTCCGAGGTGCTGGGCAGGAAGGAGGAGCAGGCTGGTGGGGAGCAGCCTGGCTGGGGAAGCTGTCGCCCTGCTCCACGTCTAGACGCCTGTGGGCTGACGGGCCTCACCTTGCTCCCCTGCGAGTGGGTGCCAACATCTTCCTCATGAAGTAAGGGTGTCATCCACCTGGCACCCTGCCTAACGCGTAACCGCTCTGTTAGAGGGTGCTGCCCTAGTTCTAAGCTCATCGCTAGAGCCTGTCAGTGGGGCCAGAACTTAGATCATGTGTCACTCTCAGGCACGCTGGCGTCATACTTGTGCAGAATGGAGAACTGAATTTTACATTTCAGACTCTTTCAGTGAGGACAGTCTTTTCTTTTCTTTTTAACTAATTCGGCCTAAGTTGGGATGTTTCTCTATATTCTTTTTTCAGCTTCATTGAAGTATAACTGAAAAATGAAATTATACATGCTCAGCGTATACGGTGATGATCTGATAGACGTCTACATTATGAAATCATCACCATGGTCGGATTCCTGACACCGTCGTCACCTCCTGTAGCTCCCACTGTGCATGGGGGTGCCACCCTGTTGGCACGCCAGTGTAGACCACGGTGTTATTAAATATTGTCATCTTGCTGTGTATAAGCTCTCGGAACTCATTCATGAATCAGGTCATTTTTCTTGAACCTTTATTTTCTAAATTTTGAATCCTTCTAATATTTGAAACATGAAGTTTAAGGCAATGAACACATTTATCTATAAGTACCATCTTCACCGACTGCCACAGGGTTTAGGGTGGAGTGCTTTAAATCTGTTCCTTGGGATTTCCTCCTTTATCCTCTTAATTATTTATGAGTTAATTTCTTGTACAAGAACATGGCTTACTGAGGGGTTTTATTGTTATAGATTTCTAATTTTGTTGTCACATAATGATATCTGTTTATCAATTCCTAGAAATTAACAATATTAAAATTCAAAATTGAATTGGTATTTCTTGATTTTTCTTCTTTTTTTCTTCTGCAGTGCAGGGGATTGAACCCAGGGGCACTTTACTGCTAAGCTACATCCCCAGCTCCTTTTCTTTCTTATTTTGAGAAAAGGTCTTGCTGAGTTGCTCAGACTGCCCTTGCCAGACCCTCCTGCGTCCAGCTCCCCAGTGGCGGGGACCACAGGCATGCACCGCGGCACCTGACTGGCATCTCTTGCTTTGGATGATCATCCTGTGGTTAAATTCATCGTTGACATTTGGGGAAGTTGAATAAAAAATATACAGAAATTCTCTGTACTTTTTCAGCAGCTCTCTGTATATTTGAAATTAATTCAGAAGGAAATTTTACAACAAAAAGACTTATAATGTTTCCTCAAGTAATTCAAAATATAATTTAAGAAGATAGGACCTGAGGGTTCCTTTTATGCCATCACAGGAGCTTAGAGGCCACATCTTTGCCTTGGCTGATACCCATCCTCTGGACTCGCATGCCTAGGTTCACCCTCTTAAATGTGTCCTTGTGCTGATGTCACTAAGCTCCTCTTCGTCCCCATCCCCCAAGTCCAGTGGAGATGACAGTGATACCTCATGAGCTCTGAGGGTCTAATGAGATGGTGTGTAAGGCCTTGAGCTTAAGTGGTCATCACTAATACTGCTGTGGTCATTCGATGTTAAAAGCAGATGAGAGGACAACCAGCCAGGGCCAGTGCTCTGGCAAGGCCACGCAACTCTGGGATCCAGCTTCCTGTTGATTTCTCTGCTAGTGTGCCTTAGGGATCATGAAATTGGATGAACAGTAAGTAAAGTTGAAAGGGGAAATATTGGTCACAAGATCGGTAGTACCTATTATCATTTCTATTTTGTGAATGCTGAGGACAAACAGTTGATTTTTTTCTTTGGTTATTGCTAAATAACCTGATTACTATTCGTTTATAGTTATTTTGCAATGGTCGTGGGATTTATTATCTTTGTTGTCTATAGTTCTTTTTAATTAATATTTTTGATAATCCAGCATTGTTATTAATCAAATTGTTTTGTCTGGGTGGTCTATTATACACTAAGAAGCTTTAAACACATAAGTTTGTTTTTATCCAAGTCCGCCTATGATTCTTTATGCATGTTGGCCTTAATTTTAAATTTGTTTTTGTTTTAGATGACTCCTTGCTAAAAAGTTGGTGTGATAGCTTATGCCATTTATTTTTTTAAAAATTATCTGGCTTTATTGGATGGGAACCAGTCCCTTTTATTCTTTTTAAAAATTTTTTAAATTTGTTTTAATTCATTATACATGAGAGTACAATGTACTTCACATAGATGGAGTATAATTTCTCATTTTTCTGGTTATACATGATGTAGAATCCCACTGGTCTATAGTTATATATGTACATAGGGTTATAATGTCTGATTCATTCTATTGTCCTTCCAAATACCCTCCCCTCCCTTCACTCCCCTCTACCTAAAGTAACTCTATTTGTTCTTACCTGGAGTGTGAATCATCTCAAAATTCAACTGCAGTGGGTTCTCTCCCACCATCAAACAAAGTAGGACCTGCAGCCTAAGTGTCTGCTGTATGTTGTGACTGTGCTGTTTCCATTGGACTGTGGTGGGCTGTAGATAGCCGAGTGCAAGGCGGGTGTCCACTGAGCCCATGAGAGGAAGCCGCATTTCCTGCCTCTCTGCCCCTTTCCCTGCTCCTTCTCTGATGCTTGCAGATGTCAAGAAGGCTGCAGTCAGCAGGTGCAATGGCAGAATGGCAGGTCTGCCAGCAACTTGCACTTACTGATAGCAAACATGTGCCAACCATTGATGCCACTGTTTGATATAGCACTGGGGGCATGAGGTACAGAGAGCAGAAATGGTCCACAGAAAGACCGTCTCTTCAGTCCCTTAAATATGTAACACCATCCCTCTAGATCAAGGACCTCAGATGATAACATACAACAAGTAGAAAACTGTCATCACTACTCTATGTCCCACAGTTTGGTTAATCAGTGATATTACTCTAATGAGATCATCTGTTTTAAAAAGGAATTAATCCATGTATTCTGAGAGAAGAGGGTGACTCCGGGTTCCCTTTTCCCCATTTGAATATGGTCTCTGTCCCCAAGGTTCACATATCCATACATGCATTCATGCAATTGTGCATTTCACAAAGCATTTGAGTGTCTACTATGTGCCAAATGCCGTGCTTGTTGGTATTGATACAGTAGTACTCAAAGCGGTCGTGATGTGGTCCCTGTGCCGATGGGATTCACAACCTAGTCTTCAAAATGTTCACAGAGTTTACATCAAGACAGAGTTTCCATCCAGTCCTGTTTCTGCTCTCACGTCACATGGGCTTTTTATCACGCAATGTCCTCATGTAGCTGGTGGCTACCATGTGGGATCATGCCAAAGTAGAACATGGCCATTCTCACCACATCTCTGTGGACCACACCATTCCAGAGTCTAAGATGCCAAGCAGGCAGGCTAGAAACATCAACCACAGAGATCTCTCCAGAAAGCTGTTTGAACAATATCCAGTGTCAAGTTAGAGGAAAAGACTGAGAGTGGGCTCTGATAAAGGCTGGGGACTGACGGGAGCCACTGATGTCTCCCTCAGCCATAGCACCAGAGACAGTGCTCTTCTGTGGCAGATGAGGGAGCTCCAGGAGATTTCCAAAAAGGAAGGATTTGGCCGGGAACATCTCCAACAGAGAAAAGTTCAATAATTGTGTGAAATCACTTGATGCTGACTTGGCCAAATTTCTGTAGTAAATTTGATCCTCACAAAATGTCACTTATTTCACACACACACACAAATATTTGTAATGCATGATTTCAGCTACTCTGAACAATTTGCCAGCATTTCCCGGGTTTTACCTTTGAAATTTTAAGATCTCAAGACATTTTGTGGTCACATCCAAAATAAATTTGTAGGCTATTTTCTCTGTCTTTTAAAATCTGTAAGCTCTCATGAACTCGTACTCTTCCGTTCATGTCTCAAAACTGACATGCTGAGCCATTAACTTTTCCATCAAACAAACATGTGGCCAGTTACATATTAATAAAAATCAGAATGGCCCGTTTGTGTTTAAATTTAATAGCAGTTGGAGTGGTGTGCATGTTATCGGGAAGAAATAGATGATCGGGGAAGTAAAATTAATTTCAAATGGACTGGCAGAGAGGGTCAAAATAAAAGTCCTAAACACAGTAAGTGTCCAAACTTCAGTAATGTGAGGTTTCATTTGGACAGATTTGGTCAGTGCAGGCAAAAAATAGTAAGTATGACTGTTTTCCAAAAAAATCCGATATTTTCATCCTTTCAAGATACTTTATATACCTGGGGGGAATCCTCGGAACATCTGTAACTCTGGTCCCTGCATAGAAACTGTATCAAAAGTTGTTCTTGGTCTAAGAGATCTAAAATTGGGCCATCCTATGCAATTAAAAATGAGGTCTATTTTCTTCCATCTAATGTGCCCAATTCAGAAACAAAAACAAAAAGGGCAAATCTGTCTCTCATCTATCTGAGCCAATTAAATTCATACCAGGAGGTGTGAGACTTAAAAGGTTTACTTGATGCAGGAGCAGAAATAGAAGTTTAATTCAAGTTTCCTGAACCCTCATCTTCCTTCCTTGCCTCATTTTCTAGTCTAAATGAACGTGTCATAGCTCAATCAGGGTTCCACTTGGAAGCATAGAATGGAAATGGAAAGGCAGAACATGGCAATTTGAACTAATAAAAATATACCACTATCCATGGAAAAATATTCAAGCTCACAATAAGCATTTGTTGAAATTCCAAAGCAGAGTTGAAGGGCACAGTCCAGCCGAGGGCAGGTGGTCTTCTCTGGGCCTCAGTGTCACTTCCCGTTCCAACACACATCTGGAGCTTCCTGGAAAGACGGGAGAGTCAGTGTGACCTGTGGATCCAGGCTGCCCTCCGAATGCTTTGGATGCTCCATGGGACGTTGCCAGTGTGTGCTTACAAATCGTGGAGGAGGCTCACTACCTCTGGAGGAAATCCTCTTCATTCTGGACATTTATTCTAAACACTGACACTCTGGGTTTAAACTAAAATACCTCCTGGGCTTTCCTCGGAGACCTGTGCTGCTAGATGAGATGGGTGTGGTTCACCAACACATTTTCCCATGGTGTCTGGTCACCTGGGGAGTCCTGACTGAGGGGCTCTACCCCAGGGCTTTGGGGAGGACAGATCCGACCCGACCAGCACTGGAGTGTGATAGTGACTGCGGGGGGTGGGGGGGCGGTCCTGGAGAAACAGCCCAGCAGAGAGGTAGGAGAAGGAGCTCTTCCCTCTGCCTCACCTCATCTCCTGCGGGTGGATGGTCCTGTTTCCCTGCGCTGCCTCCTTGGTTTGAAAACAAGTCACTCCCACCCTCCACTATTAGTGAATTCTCCCCTCACTGAGTCACAGACAAAACCTGAGCTCTGTGAGTGCAGGGCAGAGAGCGAGCGCCACTTCTGAGGGGACCGAGAGGGCTGCAGAGAAGCAGCATTTCAAAGGAGGGCCAGGGCCACCGGGGTGAGGGAAGGCAGGTGTTCCCAGGCACCTGGGGAGGGATGGGGGGTGCATGTGACTGACAGGCTGGGCTCCGGGTGATGAGTGGAGAGATCCTGGAGGTCTTGGGTGACACTGTACAGCTGGCCTTTACCTATGGAGCAGGGCAGCCTTCACAGTGTTGGAATGGAAGAAGGCACTGCGTGGAAGAGTAATGGACAAGGAATGCCAGACGCTGGCCCTGCAACAGAGAGGATGAGACACAGTAGCTGTGCGCCATTTTACATCATTAGAACACGCGTGCCTTGTGACCTGGAGTGAGAGTGGGGTACACACGTGTTTCAGATGATGGTCACAGAAAACCTGCCTGAGGATGTGAGGCTGAGCTGCAGCATGAAAGAACCTGTCCCGTGACGCCAGGAAGGAGCAAGAACAAAGGCCCCGAGACAGATGGAGTTGGAGGGCCAGAAAGATGGCCAGTGGCTGGACCCCAGCAAGAAAACGTGGGCGTGGTAAGCACATGGACAGATGCTGACCAAGTCTTACATCTTGGTAAAACATATGAATGCATTTTTCTAGAAGGCAGTGGGAAACCAGGTGCAGTGGCCACGCCTGTAATCCCAGCAACTCAGGAGGCTGAGGCAGGAGGATCACAAGTTCAAAACCAGCCTCAGAAATTTAATAAAGGCCTGTCTCAAAATAAAAAAAAAAAAAACAAAAGAATTGGGGATGTGGCTCAGTGGTAGAGCACCCCTGGTTTCAATTCCTAGTACCAAAAAAATTAAAAATCAAAATGCAGTGGGAATCTGTGTTTTTTAATACCTCACCAGCAACAGCGTGGAGAGGGAGTTCCAAGTCCCTGTAGAGGCCTAGGGATTCCTGTTAACCTCCAGAAAGAGATGCTGGAGAGACAGCCGAACATCAGAACTCAAGTCAACAGAACTCAGGACCAAGATGCAAACTAGAGAGTCATTAAGTGTGTTGTTACGGTCAATGCCACCATGGGATCCCCCGGAAGGGTGTCAAGGTGGAACAGAGTGCAGGCCTAGGGCTAGGCCAGGGCCCTTTCAGCAGTTAGTGCACAAACGAGAGGCAGAGGAATAAAGGGAAGAGGCCCAACAAGCTCCATCCGTAGACAGAGGTGCAGATAAACCCAGCACTGCAGAGGGAGAGAGAAGGAAACCAGCCGGGGACGTGGCAGAGAAAACCTGCCTAAGGATGGGAGGCTGAGCTGCAGCCTGCCCAAGCCCTGGGCTCAATCCCCACTGCAGGGGGAAATAAATAAATAAAAC